AAAAAAAAAGAGTGAGTTGTTAACACTCTTATTAAGAGTGGTGGCACATGCCTTTAATCCCAGCACTTGGGAGGCAGAGGCAGGCAGATTTCTGAGTTCGAGGCCAGCCTGATCTACAGAGTGGGTTCCAGGACAGCCAGGGCTGCACAGAGAAACCCTGTCTCAAAAAACAAAAACAAAAACAAACAAACAAACAAACAAAAAAGAGTTGTGGGCTAGAGAGAGATGGCTCAGCAGTTAAGAGCACTGACTGCTCTTCCATAGGTTCTGAGTTCAATTCCCAGCAACCACATGGTGGCTCACAACCATTTGTAATGGAGTCTGATGCCCTCTTCTGGTATGTCTGAAGATAGCGACAGTGTACTCTCATACATGAAATAAATTAATAAATAAATAAATAACTTTAAATAGAGAGAGAGAGTTGTAAGGTGGCTATTGAGCCCTGAGAATGCAAACCACTCCTTTTATGTATTCATCCCTTTGTGTTTTATAAAACATGGCTTAATAATGCAGGAGGCCTTGCCAAGGTGTCCCCCTGAACTGCTAGTCCGAAAGAAGTTTACTGGAGGAAGGGAGCCAAGGAGTAGAGCAGGAACCTGGAAAGAGGCAGAGACAGGGAAAGGGAGACAGAAAAGTACAGAGAGAAGAAAAGGGAAGAGAAGAGGCCACTGGGAGCACATGGGGAAAAGAGAGAGATCAAAAGTCTCTGAGGTCTACCCCCATCCCTGTGTGGATTTGGGAAGGCTCTACTCTGCCAGCTGTTCAATAGTTTACTGTGTGGCTGCCAACAATTCATTTCCTTTGTAACATGCATGGGTGATGTGCATATTTATTCTGTCCCTATGACATTGCTCTTAGGAATATTTTAGTATAATCTTTTTGGTAAACATACATACAGTTTAAACCAACATGTTTTGAATGTTTTCATTAGCATACAAAGTGTTGGGTTTCAGTATATACTTTGTTCTTGTTGATCTTCCCCCACCCCTCTTCTCCTTCCTCCTTTCCTCTTCCTAAAAGTCCATAGACTCAAAGAGAGAGAGAGAGACAGAGAGAGACAGAGACAGAGACAGAGAGACAGAGAAAGACAGAGACAGACAGACACAGACAGAGAGAGACAGAGAGAGAGAGATTTTTTGAAGCAACTAGAACAGGATAGGCTGTGTGAATCAGACAACAGCCCACTGGCAAGTCTTGCACTTCCTTGTTAGCCCTCGGGAGATAATTGTAAGGTGCCTCGGTGTTCTCTCCAACCACTAGGTTGTTTGAAAGCATTTCCTCCTGATACCAGAACCTTCAGTCGTTCATAGCAAATGGTTCCCTTAGCTGGTTTCTTTTCCATGTTCTGGCCTCTCCCACAGCGAGTCCCTCCCTCCTTTCCCACTGTTCTTCTCAGGAGAGTCCCTCCCTCCTTAGCCACTGTTCTTCTCACTTGTCCTTGAGAAAACGTTCTTAACTGTCCTCCTGAAGTGTCCTGGTTCCATACATATAAGTCAAGGTCAAACTCATCTACAAGGGCCAAACATCATACTGGGCTTCTAACTTTATTCACATACTAAACACATGAGAACATTCTTTTCATTCACAAGTACATGTACTATACCAGGATTTTGCCTTGAATAAAATTGTCTTCATCTTTCATGTCCACAGTATGACAACCAGAATGAAGAAACAGTAGTAGAGAAAAAGAAAAAGCTATGAAAAGAAAAGAAGGCTACTTTGTAACCACTGTTTCCAAGTGGGCCTGTAGCCTTCTGTTGCTAGATCTGTGGGCTTCTCAGAAGACAGAAATTCAAATGTTTTGTGAAATAAACTGTGTTTTCAAAAATGTTAATCTCACTGGGCAGTGGCGCACACCTTTGATCACAGAGGGAGGCAGATCTCTGTGAGTTGGAGACCAGCCTGGTTTACAGAGCTTGTTCCCAAACGGCCAATGACACACAAAGAAATCCTGTATTGAAAAGCAATCAAACAAACAGACATGTTAATATCTACCTTGAAAGAATTCCAATTTTTGCCAAGGCTAAACCATGGTTATTAAATCACCACCAGCTTGCTACTTCTGGCACTCTAAATTGGAGTAGGTGTTTATCTTACTTATTTGCTTAATCTAAAGTGGTGGCTATGTAATTATGTCTTTGTTGGAGATCATTCACTTTGTTTCTGCATCCAGTCTCTTTATTGTGGTAGATCCGATTTTTAGCCCATCTTTGTGACATTGCTCATAGTTAAGCTACTTTGCTTCCCTGCTATGAAAATAAGTAAATGAATAAAGTTAAGATACGTGCTTTCACAGCATTATTCATAATAGCCAGAAGCTGGAAAGAACACAGATGTCCTTCAACTGAGGAATGGATACAAAAAAGGTAGTGCATTTACACAATGGTTTATTACTCAGCTATTAAAAACAATGAATTTGAGAAATTCTTAGGTAAATGAATGGAACTAGAAAATATCATCCTGAGTGAGGTAACCCAATCACAAAAGAACACACATGGTATTCACTCACTGATAGTTGGATATTAGCCCAGAAGCTTGAAATACCCAAGATTCAACTCACAGACAACATGAAGCTCATGAAGAAGGAAGACCAAAGTGTGGGTGCTTCGGTCCTTCTTAAAAGGAGTAACAAAATACTCAAGGGAGTAAATATGGAGACAAAGTGAGGGACAGAAACTGAAGGAGGGATCGTCTGGAGACCATTCTACCTGGGTATCCATCCCATGTACAGTCACCAAAGGTAGACGCTGATGTGGATGCCAGGAAGTGCATGCAGACAGGAGCCTGATATAGCTGTCTCCTTAGAGGTCTGCCAGAGCCTGACATACACAGGAGGCAGATGCTCACAGCTAACCATTGAACTGATCAAGAGGTTCTCAGTGAAGGAGTTAGAGTGAAGACTGTAGGAGCTGAAAGGGTTTGTGGCCCCATGAGGAAAGCAACAATACCAACCAACCAGAGCTCCCAGGGTCTAAATCACCAGCCTGGGAGCACATAGGGAGGGACTCATGGCTCCAGCTGTATATGTAGGGGAGGATGGCCTTGTCGGGCATAGGAAATCCTTGGTGCCATGAAGGCTGGATGCTGCGTGTAGGGGAATTCGAGGGTGGGGTGGTGGGAGTGAGGGGGGGTCACATCCTCATAGACACAGGAGGTGGGGGGATGGGATGGGGGTTCCTGGACAGGGGGCAGGAGGGAAAATGGGGTAAGGGGATAACATCTGAAATGTAAATAAAATATCCAATAAAAAAAATTTAAAAATAAAAGAGATGTGCTTTCAAAACAGAAAGATGGAGTCAAGCTAGGGATTAAATTATCAAGTGGGACAGTGGTGGCACAGGACTTTAATCCCAGCACTTGGGAGGCAGAGGCAGGCGGATTTCTGAGTTCGAGGCTAGCCTGATCTACAGAGTGAGTTCCATGACAGCCAGGACTACACAGAGAAACCCTGTCTCGGAAAAAAAAAAAAAGAAAAGAAAGAAAGAAAGAAAAAAAAAGAAAAACCAAAACAAAAGCAAAAACAAAAAAAAAACAAAAAACCACACACACCAAAGAGAGATTAAGTTAACTTTAAAATGTACGGTAGGAATCTCTGTGAAGCAGGTATGACCAGTATGCATGCAGACACAAGGACAGGGCTTATCACCATGATGCAAACACAGTTCACAGTGGGTCCCTACTCTCAGCATTGCCACAGTGTTCCTTTAAATCCATTGAGTCTGTTCCAGAGGATTCCTCCCATCAAATCCCAAACAATCAGTCACAGCTGTCCCGTCCATGTCACCATATTGGATGGGATTCACTTTGCCTGTAGGAGCTGGGACTATGTTTCACATCAGGCCTCCCACGGTGTCTAGCTAGCAATAAGGAAAGTAAGAGTTACTGCATGAATCATATCATCTAAATAATACCTGCCACTCTCAAAAAGCTTGCCATGTATGATATCGTTTACTGCCTGGCAAGCTTTCCCAGGCCGGACCACACAACCTGAAGCCGACCTCCAGTTAGTCTCACTTAACTTACATATGTTCACTTTCGTTTCTCCAACTAGGACTCCGGCTTTTCTAACGTACTCTTCTCCACCACACCCTAGCACTGCGATTGGACCTAGGGCCTCCCACACTCCAGGCAAGCATTCTACTATAGACCGGCTTCCCCATTCCCCTTGACTTTATTTTGAGACAGACTCTAAGTTCCCCAGGTTAGCCTCGAACTTCCTCTACAGCTTAGAACTTACAACCCTCCTCCTTTCTTTGTAGTAGTTGGGGTTTCAGGTTTGCGATCACCAGGCCGAGCTTCTAAGAGATTCTGGTTTCCGTGCACAACGTCTACCATCTGTCTCTAAAAAGGGCAGGCATCCTCTCAACTTTGTGCTTGGGGAATACGAAGTAAGTGCATCAAAACCTCCCACTTCCTCAGGTGGAAATTGACTTGCATACATTCCATCTCAAGAAGCATGTTGTGAAATCTATATTTAAACTTTAGGATTAATGTGTTGATCATTTTATAATTCATTAGGAACTCCAGGAGTGGGGAGGCAAAACAAAAAAGGTTGTTTCCAATGCCCTCTTATTGACATTGGTACAGAATTTTTGCTGCAATAAGAAAGCCACTTCCTCTGACTTCGTCCCCACCACAAGTCTGGTTCTTGCCACATCCTGAGAAACTTCTGAAGCCTACATTGGCTGAGTAGTCATTCAGCCAACTACTAGATGCTCATAGTAAAAGAGGGCAGCATCACCAGACCTCTAAGTTGTAAATCCGACAGGGGTGGGAATGCCAGAGGGTCTGCGCTAATTCTGCCTTCTCCTACAGCATCTTTGCAAGCCGCCAGACCTAGGAGCCCCTACAATTCTTGGCTTTACGCTTCCTTCCTATTGCACGTGGCCTCCTTTAGCTCCAGAATCTCTCTTGCCTGCAAGCTCCACGTGAAGAACCGCAGCAGCCAGATTCGCGGCCGCCCCGCCCCGTCCCGCCCCGCCCCCGGGCCCGCCTATTTCGCCAGCGCTGATCTAGGTCTCCGCAGGAGCCCGCCCGCTGTTCCCTGCTGCGGCTGCGCCTCCTTGTTCTCAACGTCACTACTGCCGCCATGCCCGGAGGGTTGCTTCTCGGGGACGAAGCCCCCAACTTTGAAGCCAATACCACTATCGGCCGCATCCGCTTCCACGATTTCCTGGGAAATTCGTAAGTGGCCACCGCGTTGCCCTGCCAGGTGACGGGTCCCCAGAGCTACCTGCCTAGCTTCTTTCCATGCTGCGCTCGGCCGCAGCGGCACGGCGCTGGCTTAGCCCCTCACCGGTTCCCGCACGTGCCCGCCGCCGGTGTCCTGCCGAACATCACCGGGCGTTGCTGGGGACCTGCAACCTCTGGCCGGCCCTGCGCGGATCAGCAGATCCTTCCCTGACCCAGCGTGTATGGGCTGGCATGGGGAGAGAGGTCCTTTCCGAGGACGGTTTGTTGTTCATTTAACCTGGCTTTTTAAACAGTGGTGGCTGGGTTTGTGTCGTGGTCTATCCGAAAGACCAGGGGAGGTGGGGCAGGATTGTTCGGTGTTTGAGGTCACTTCCCGGGACGCTTGCCCAGGCTCGCACTGCCCGCTCTCCCGCCGCTCTAGAATTTGCACCGTGCGGAAGGTGGGTGCCTAAGGCCAAAGTTAGAGCACACAGCCACAAATTAAGGGATGCCCCGGCGTTATCTGATGTCCTGCTTAACTTCGGAGAGTGTTATTTGAGGACTTCTGAATTTTTAATTTTGCCAAGTAAGTAGCCAAAAGTCTATGTAAGAGCTTTGAGAGGAACCTGGGACAGTGTAGGTGTGGCTGTGATTCTAGAAGAAGCAACGCTTTAAGGGACAGGCTGATAAGCTCCTGCGTCCATTTTGCTACTGTAGGCCATTCCAAGGCTAGGACACGTGTACTACCTCCCCACTTTGAGACTCTTTTGTTTCCCAGTGCTCCCCTCCCCCTCTGCCTTGCATCAGCGCCTGGCCTTGCTGCGGATAGCAACAGTGGTGGCCATAATGGCTAGGGGTACACCGATATTGTCTTAGTTTTACAGCTCCTGAATGCACAAATTTGAAAGATGCTTAGTTTCAGTCCACGTTTTGCATACGTGTCAGGCTACATTGTGGTTCTGGAGTTTCAGTGCCCTACTACACTCAATGAACAAACTCCTGGGTCTGTGTTCTTTTCATATCTTGTATGTATGTATGTATGTATGTATGTATGTATGTATGTATGTATGTACAGCAGTTATGAAACTATTCGGTGACCAGGCAGGGAAGGAAGCAATAGAGAATCAGGCAAGAATTCTTTCCTGAGGTGAGTTTGGCATCTACTGATTTTAAAAGAGAAAGGTAGACTAGAAAAAGTAGCAAATGGAACCTTTAGGCCTTGCAGGGAAAAAGACTAGAAATAAGCGTGACTGCCAGTCTCATAACTCAAAATCTAGTGTTAATATTTATCCAAGACTGCTCACGATTTACACAGTGTTCCTTCCTGTTCCTGTCTGCAGCCCACACCCCCAGGAAATGTGAGGTCTTGCTGGAACTCCTCATCTGTATGGGTGAGGGATAAACGTGAATCTAAAGCACACGTATTGTGAAAATAGCCACACTGGAGTCAGGGGTGGGAGTCTTAGTGACTGTTTATTGCTCTAGATCTGATTTAAAATGTTAAGTTTCCCTGCTGCTCCCTGGCAACTGTATTATTCCATCTACTAAGGAGACAGTTGGGAAGATCCTAACTTCAAGGCCAAGCCAACTTAGTGAGGCTCTGTCTCTAAACAGGCAGATGAAGAGGCATCTTTAGATGAGGTAAATTTATAAGCAAGTGTAACCGTGTGCTTAGCACCAGTGAATCATGATACTCCTGTAATAACGGAGAAAGAAATTTCCACCCTGTGTATCATTTGTAATACAAGGGATATGCCTAGTTTTTCCAAACTCTATTCTGTAGATGGTCGCAAGTCAGTTTGCCACTTACAGACTCAAAAATCCTTTGGAGTAGAAAAAAAAAAATGAACTTTAAGCATTACTGTACCCCTGACAGTTAGAAACAGCTAAAGGTTTGGGGAGCTGTGTGGGTTTGAGTAGATATGGCCTCCGGATGTGGAAGAGCATCTTATGTATCCCAGGGTTCCTCAGTAATCAAAGCTCCTGCACCCAGAGGTTTTCTGGTAGGAGAGACCATTCTGTTAGGGGGAAGAAACTTTTTGTCTTTTGAAAATGAGGAAGGAAATGGCATATTGTAGTTGAATTTCTCCAAAGAGTAGGGAAAGCAGACATTCTTGGAATACCCTGAGACACGCTGGAGTGTGTGAAGGGGCCGGCATAAATGCAGTTCACCAGCATGACTCAGCAAAATGCACTGCCTCGCAATTTAAAAAAAAAAATCTAATTCATCACCCCTATAACAGTACATAAAGAGATGCTCTGTTCCTTTTTTTTAATTTTGATTTATTATTTTATTTTCCTGCAACTTAAGTCTGATCTGACCACCACTGGTCCTTCTCCTTAGAACCTAAGGCCTAAATGTGACAGCTGGATTAAATCTTGAAAGATGTATGTTCTTCCTGCCCCCATATTAAAAACAAAGAAAAAAAAAAGCCTAAACATCAATCTCCATGTCTTCCTACCTCTTTGCGCAGGGCCTCCCATTCTTTTCAACTCCCTTGCACTGTGAGTTGAGTGTCAGGTGTAGGTGGAAGTCAGTAGCTTTGACTGCTTTGTTCTTCCTGATCAGGGAAGTTTGCCAAACACGCAGCATCTAGGCCAGATTAAGTAATCTTCTACTTTGGGACCTTGGCCCTGGATGGCTCAAGCAGTGGGAGTGTACAGGACTTTGTGCTGAGTTTTCCTTTGAGCTTGAAAGAGCTGTTACCAAGAAGGAATTGTACTCAACTCCGAACGAAGGAAGTTTCTTTGGAACTCAGTTTGAATCATCCTCAAAATCTGTACAATGTTAACCTCAGACATGGATTCCATTGTAATCTTTACCTAAGAACTGTAGGTGGGAAAATCTACATTGTTTAGGGTATCTGTGTATTTTCTACTTGCTTGGTCTAAAGTAAACTGCAACTGTTAAATAATATTGTGGTACAAATATGGGTGCCTTGTTTAACAGGTTAGATCAGTCGAGTGACTTTATGAAAGATTTTATATCTGCCTGCTTCCAGAAAACCAAGTGCCAAGTCTGAAGCTAGAGTTCTATCTGCTCCGGGTTACATAATCTGTTTATTTTTATAATCAGGCATCTGTTTGTATTTGGGGCATAGTAGGCGATGAATTTCAAGGACTGTGCTAGGAAAAAAAAAAAGGCTTAAGGAATGTTTTAATAGGGTGCTTGACTAGAATAGCACAGATTTTATTGACTGAAAGGGAGTCACACTGGCTGGCTGGGTGTGGTGGTCCACACCTTTAATCCCAAGCCCTCAGGGAAGTAGAGACTGACCAGTTCAAGGCCAGCCTGATCTACAGTTTTTTTTTTTTTTTTAATCGACACCATAAAATGAATCCTTTTGAACCATTTATCTTGAATCTTACATATTTGATGTATAATGTCAACTTGGGCTTCTCTGGAGACAAGGTTAGAACTAAAAGCTTTAAATGTCTTCATTATACAGACATTTTAAGTGCAAATACTGAGTATTTCATTCTGCGTGGTGATGGTGACCATTCAGTTGTGACCTTCTTCTTCATTCCAGATGGGGCATTCTCTTTTCCCACCCACGGGACTTTACCCCAGTGTGCACCACAGAACTTGGCAGAGCTGCAAAGCTGGCACCAGAGTTTGCCAAGAGGAATGTTAAGTTGATTGCTCTTTCAGTAGACAGTGTTGAGGACCATCTTGCCTGGAGCAAGGTATAGTTCTATGATCTGAGGTATATATATGTGTGTGTGATATATATTCCTCCTTTCTTGTTACCTCCCATACATTCCTAATAGCCTTTATGTCTTCCAAGATGCAGTGTCTTTTTATATGCTAATGATTGATTGGTGGCCACAGCTTTGGACAGAACCAGGCAGGACTAGGGAGAGAAACAGCTGAAGGTTGAACTGTGTATCAATAGTTGATGATTTAACCACTGTGCCTATAAAATGAAGATTCCATGGGAATCCTAATAGAGTCCCATCATCTGGATTGCTAAAAAAGTGAGCTTTCCTGGAAGGTTAGGTATAACTGGGGCATGGAGGCTCCATCCTGAGTTTGTATATATGCTCATCTGCATCCTTTGTAAATGCACATCCCTAAATTCTGTAAGTTCCAACAAGTTAACCAGTCCCAAAGAAAGGATCACAGGAGTCCCAAACTTTTAGTCAGCTTGGAACTTGTGATTGGTATCAAGTTGGGATAATCTTCTTGATCTGATCCTTCTATGGAATCTGCTGTCTCTGCAGGTAGATAATGTCCAAGTTGAGCTGAATTGAAGACTCAGTGATGGTATACATCATAGAACTGATTGGTTGTTGGAGGGGGAAATGCCTGTACAACTTCCTGATGACCATAGAAGTCAGGGAAGTCTTTGTGTTCCTTAGTAAGAGAATAGGAAAAGGCACTTGACTTTCCCCTTCTGTATCAGAAGTGTTGATTGGCATGTGCTATGAGTCTGAAGTTTTGTAGAATGTAACTTGGTTTCTGAGATAAAAGCGAATGTAAACCTTGGTTCAGAGGTCACTGGTCACTGAAAGTCAGACTTCAACTTTGTCGTCATCTCTATGTTGTCATATCAACGGTAGCTTCTCAGTCACTGTCTTCTCTGCTGGCTTTTCAGGACGCTGCCTCCAGCTGTCCATACTAGACTTGTTCTTCATTGCCTCCCAGTTCGTAATTGGTGCTGAAGTTGGCCCGGGCTTACTTCATTCATGGACCACTTCTCTCTTTCCCCCTTGGTGAGCTCTTCCACTCACCAAGATAAACTAAAGATAAGATCCATGAACTGCTTCTCAGAGTCCCATCTGTCAGGACTCTCCTGGTCCCCAGCGAGTAAACATGACCTCCTTGGCACTTCTCTTGGCCATGCAGACATGTTGAACCTAGCATGTATAAAAATGGATGCTATTATCTATTCCAAGACTTGATTCATCTCAGCTAATAGCTGCTACATTTTGGAGTTGCTAAGTTGAAACTCCAGGGCCGTTTTCGCAACCCTAACCCTGTCTGGTTTATCCACACACACTCATAGACACCCTGTATTAAATACATCCACCCACCTTACCTGTACTATACTGCTTTGCTGTTTTACCACAAATGGCACCTTATAACACCTGATCATACTTCATATCTCCTCTGTAGTCCTTGTCTAAATCTCTGCATATTGCTTGTCTGGTCACTATATTTTTCCCCCTTGGGAGTATAGGGTCCAGCAGGAGTAAACTAGTCCACTGCTACAGAAGTTTTCAGTATAGGTAACAGTCAGGATTGTTGAATGAAATTGTCTGCTTTGGGCAAAAGTATTTACAAGTATTTGGGCAGGATGTTTTTTTTTTTAATCAGCTTTGCTACAATATGCCACACAATACCTCACATTTGTATGTATGTGCTGAGCACTGTCAGTCACATGAAATTGAATAAAAGGTAACATTTTGGTGTGTGCATTGGGCTACACTCCATGGCCATCTCACACCAATGAATCCTAAATGTCTAGGAGCAAAAGGGTGAGGCGTAGGAGATTAAGCTGGGTTGTCGTCTTCCCTGAGGTGGATTCTTTCATTATGCATACCTTGGCAATGGGTAACTGGCATTTCCACCGATTCCTCATGGGCAATTTCTCATTAGACTCTGGCAGAACCCTTTACTATAAGCCAGTGGCCACTGGAATGACTTGCTCAATCAAGCTCACCCGGTTGAAAAGGATGCGAACCTCAATGTTTGTTCTGTGCTAGATGGTAAAGAGTGAAATTGTACTGACTTAGGATAAAATAAAGACAAAGTAAATAATGTGGTCCTTCGGTGTCTGAGTGTAATGTACAGTGAGGAGGTCAAGAATTCATGTGTCAATACTCAGTGTCCATCAATATCATATAAATAAATCACAGAAGAGTTCAGAGCTCATTGTCGGTACGTAACACGTCTAAATAGGAACATGCCTGGGTTCATTTCTTCTGCCTTCTTAGAAGTTTCCAAACTTGTGTTCTTCTAGAATGGAAAATAAATTCAAATGTCCAAAAGCAGTGCCAGCTTTGATCTCTGATTACATAGGGAAGCTCTAGGTATGCTGGCAGGAAACTGTATTGGTTCTAATTTGACTGATGACTAAATAACAGGTAGTCAGTGACCCACAACTTCAGGCAATAAAATTAATGAATATGCTAGCATTTCAGAGAGATTTGAATCTGCTCTCATCCCCAAAGAAATACAAAACGATCCCAACTGCTTCTAATCTGCCATCCTGTCAATCTGGTATCCATTCTGATGAGCTTTACATGAATAATAAACTCACCTTTTTCTAATTTTAAATCCACTTCCCTGTCACTTCCTAAACTCTCCTAGTTACCTTCCACACGTTCCTACAGTAGATTGATTATGCACAGACTTGCCTACACAGTCTCCTTAATATCCCTCTTCTCCCCAAAATGCCTTGTTCTTCTTAGTAAAAAGCTTTACCTGTCTTTCAGAGCCCTGGTAGACATTATACCCCTTTCTTGAAGCCTTCCCTCTCTCCTCAGTCCTATACATTTCAAGAGAGTTGAGTGTGGGGAGGGCCTTGGCCTATGCATACCTCACTCTGCTAATGCTCCTTTGAGTGAATAATTGCTTGTATAATAATTGTATCTGCCCATGTATCTTATTAAAATTCCTTAGAGAACATGATTATGATGATGGTTCCTTGGTTTGCAAAGTGATGATTCTTAGCCTGGTGAGAAGCAGAGAACCGTAGTCAGGTTTCAGAGTCTCGCTCCCCTTTCTCTTGTTTCAGGACATCAATGCTTACAATGGTGAAAAACCCACAGAAACGTTACCATTTCCCATCATCGATGATAAGGACAGAGACCTGGCCATCCTTTTGGGCATGTTGGATCCAGCAGAGAAGGATGGTAACAACATGCCTGTGACGGCCCGTGTGGTGAGTCGTAGCACTGTGTAAATACTTGAGCCAATGCAAAAGGGATATGTACAGTTGTGAGGCAGCTGTGTGCTAGTGACTGTCCTTTATTATACACTGGTGAAGAGTGGCTGGAATACTCAGCAAAAATTACTGCTTAATTGGATATCTACACATAAATAGTACATCCAATACTGTTTTCTAGAGTTAAAAAATCTTAGCTGTATATCTCTTGCCAGCTGTCTTTAAAGCAATTCTTTCAGGACAGAACTTTGTCATTTATTCACTGGGGAACAAGCCTAATCTCAGCCCACGTTAGTAATGTATTTCTTTATATAATAAATTACAGCTCACATTAGTAATGAATACGTGATGTATTTATACGTGATGTATTTATCACAAAAACCATCCTAGGTGAACTAGTACATCTACCTGAAGCTCAACCCTGAACGTTTGCATTGCAGTTTTTTTTTTCTTTCTAAAACAGCAAACTTTGAAGAATACATAGACAAGAAAGCACCCTATGACCCAGACAGAACCTTGTCCACAAACCTTGTCCACTCACCAACTCCTTCCTTCTATTTCTATTTATGGTTTTTTTGCATCTTTGATCACTTAGTGACTCCAGAGCTTTCTGGGGACTTTGCTAACAGTGTTACACAGGAGCAAGGCAGCTTAGCAGATGAGTGTTTGCTGCCAGACCTGAGGATCTGATTGGATTCCTGGAACCCACATGCTGCAGGAGAGAACCAACTCCTGCAAGCAGACCTGTGACCTCCATTTCCACACTGACATGTACGCCCACACCCTCACACACAGAAATAGCTAAGTTTTCTTTTTTTTTTTTTTTTTAAGTTATAAAACTGTTAGAGCAGTGGTTCTCAGCCTTTGGGTCATCACCCCTCTGGGGATCAAACAACCCTTTCACAGGGGTCACATCATATTCTGCAATCAGTATTTACATTATGATTCATAACAGGAAAATTATGGTTATAAAGTAGTAACAAAATAACTTTATGGTTGGGGATCACATAAGGAACTGCCTTAAAGGGTCGCAGCATTGGGAAGGTTGAAAACCCCTGTGTTAGAGGAAGGGTGGACAGACTAGGAGGAGTCTTTCCCTCCCTAGTTTGGTTACCTTGTAATGAACTCCATTTTCGTCTACCTGTTCTGTTTTCTTACTTCCCTGAACTAGGGGGAAAAGAGGTATCGAGCTCATGAACCTGAGTGTCCAGAAGCAGCTTTACTGTCCTGTACTAAAGAACACCCATCTGTGTGTGTGTATGTTTTGCAGGTGTTCATTTTTGGCCCCGACAAGAAACTAAAGCTGTCTATCCTCTACCCAGCTACCACGGGCAGGAACTTTGATGAGATTCTCAGAGTGGTTGACTCTCTTCAGCTGACAGCATCAAAGCCAGTTGCCACCCCAGTTGATTGGAAGGTAAAGCTGCTCAAGACCCGGGTGCCCAGCTTGCTAGAAAGATCCAAAGGACAGTCTCTCATGGCCACCTTTAGGATCTGTTTCTTGGGGCTTTTTCTATTGTTCCAGTATAGTGTCCCAGGAGGATCTGTTTAAGAGATCATTCACACTGTATAAAACACAAACTGGTTGTTGCTAACCCTACATAATTCCAACCCAATGATCCCTTTTTCATGTAGAAGCTAAACATTCGTAATCCAAAATTCTCAGCTCCACAGTGCTCCAAAGTCCAAAACTTGTTGAGGACATGATGCGTTTCACACTTCAATTTTGGGGATGTTCAACTGGGAGGTGCACCTACTCCATACCCACATAGGAAACAGTTCCTTTTCAGATACAGAATACTTAACATAGATAACAATTTTAAAAATTTAAATTTTACCTGATAAGCAAAATATTGTTGGGGTGGGACTTGATGGAGCCTGTGGTCCTTGCATTCCAGAGACCAGGGCTGGGGATAAGCTCAAGCCCGGCCTACACTCCATAGCAAGGTCTTGTCTCAAACATCAGGAAGGAAGGAAGGAAGGAAGGAAGGAAGGAAGGAAGGAAGGAAGGAAGGAAGGAAGGAAGGAAG